AAAAAAAAACTGACACATACGAACTCCAAACCCTTTGAGGGTTTTACTATACTGACCGAGTACCATTACCCTGACTTGGAATTTCTCACCCTCCCGACAATAATCCCAAAAATGTTGCACAGTATAATATGGCTTATACATACATATGTATGCCCAAGCAGAGAATATTGAAGAAAAATAATAGCTTTGATATTCCATAGGAAATGTGTTCCATTATGTATGTATGTAGAACTTTTATTTATTATTTTTAAAGTTAAGTATGTTAGTTTAATCATATTTTGTAATAAGTAATTTTAAATAAATAAAAGATTTACCTAACACCATTATGATATTTTCATGATTTATGTTAGCTTTCAACCAGGGAATTCCTTTCATACGCAATGTACGAATGTATGGAATTTCGCCGTCGGCATTTCTATTGCTCATACTTCAATTTTTGCTTCCAACCAAGGAATTGCTTGTATGTATGTGCAATGTATGCCTTTGCGTTTCACCGTGGGCATTTCCATATTGACATATAAAAGTAATTATGTATTTCTTTGTTTCGTTTTGGCCCAATTTTGTATATTAAGACAAGTGTCAATGGTGGTGTTGGTGGTAAGCGCTTGGAAAGTCACGATGAGTACACAGGTTCGAGTCTCGACAGAATTTCTATTTTTAATTTTTTTGCCTTTTATTCTTCCATGAGAATAAATTGTAAAATAAAAATATTTCATAATTTTATCATTTGTTGAGCTGCCGGCACTGTTGCAACATTTCTTTTAAGCAGTTTTGCCATCGTGACGAGAAATAGTTTATTTTCAGCGACGCTTGTGCGGGAAGATGTGTTGATACGTATGTTATTGCTGTTTTTGCTTCATTTATATTTTAAATGGTATGGTTGTGATAGACAAGAGATTCCCTGGTGTTTTAAGCTCTCTGTGTGGCTCGCATTTGCTGTTTTTAACATACAGAAAAATGTGCCAAAGAAATAATATATATATATCTATATGCCATAGAAATTCTATTGGTACTAATATGGAAATGATAACGAAATAATGCGAATATGCATATTTCATGAAGGTCATCAATTTTCTTTGAAGAAATGAAGTTCATTTTGAACGTTTTGACTTTGTAATAGTTGTTGAAGAATCTGGCAACTACGAATGGCCATAGTTTTCCCCTTACAACCACAACATTTTTTCGGTTACGTTTAAGATTTTTGTAATCCATTTAGTTAGTCAATTCTGATAAATAGCAGCGAGAATGGTGAAATTCCGTACTAGAATCTTATAAGCTCTGTTAGCCGTCCAATCGAACATCATACAGAATTCAATATGCACTTTCTATTGTATACAGTACTCGCGAACTCAAATGCATTGCACACATATTAAGTGGTATGATGTATTAATAGCTTCAATTAAAATTTGACGTTTTAGTAGGAGATGGCTTGGAATTTCTTTTTAAGAAACTACTGTAAAACATTATAAAATATTGATATATTTATATACAATAAATAACACTGTGCAACATTTTTGGGATTATAGTCTGGGGGGTCAGAAATTCCAAGTCAGGGTGATGGTACTAGGTCAGTATAGTAAAACCCTCAAAGGGTTTGGCGTTGGTATGTGTCAGTTTTTTTTTATGACCTTTTAAATGTTTTCCTTATTTGCCATGGTTTTCCATCTTAACAAATTAATTCTTTCCAATCAGGCCATGGTCCAGATATACGAAAGCTGATTAAAAGTGACGCATTCAATAATATTTTGATTGACGCTGAATTGAATGCATAGCAGGCAATCAAAGAAGTAATAGAAGGCTTGTTGGGAAAGCATCGTTCTAACAACTACCATGTTTCTGTCGCAAGGATGTTAAGAGCATTCTCGGAAATTTTTGTTTTTTTTTTTTGTTTTTTGGTGTATACCTTTCTATTTCGACAAAGAGAATATTAATTCTGATACAATGGGTACGCCCCTTTATAAAATTAAAGACCATCAATCAATTGAATCTTAAATGAAACTCTATTAATAAAAAATTACAACATATTTCTAAAAATCATGTGAACAAGAAAACTGATTTCCGTTAGAAAAGAAATGTTTTCCCTATGTTTTTATTTTCAACTAAAGACCAATATTAGTATACTCCATCATGTATTAAGGAAATATAGGAAAATAATATTTCGTTTCTACAAGAAATATACTTTAAGGTAATTTATGAATTTTTTAATTTCATAATTTTTTTTCATTAGCTTTGACTTATTATTTTTTTTTTGCATTTGAGCATGCTTACTGGGTTAGTGTGGATAAACTGAAGTCATATTTAGTTTAAGGAATCTAAATAATTAATCGTTTGTTATTAATTATCCATACACCTAACGCTTGTTATTGTATTATAAATATTCAAGTTGTGACATTTTTTACAAAATACCATGTATTCTAATTTAATATTGTATATCATATATTGTGCGTACATACTAGTTCCATATTTGAAAAATACTTTGCTTTTTTTTTAGTCCGTGGAAGGTGAAAATCACGAAAAAGCTGTGGAACTTCTAAAGCAAGCTGTTGGATCTGTGAAGCTAGTTGTACGTTATACCCCAAAAGTTCTTGAGGAAATGGAGTTGAGGTTTGATAAGCAACGCACTACTCGCCGTCGCCAGTGATTTAAAAACAATATAAAACATGGATTAAATTAAATGTAATAAATTATCACTCTTATTAACTCAATAAGATATCTTTAAAAAAATTAAAACCCTGACAACTTTTAAATATCGTAACGTAAACGTAAGTAAATTATGTTACTTCTACTGTTCGTCACCAGGTATCACACAAATGGATATTATAAATTTAATTATGAAGAAATTACAACATTATTATTTCGAATTGAAGACGTTCTCAATTAACGGCCACTAACTACACCCTTGCAAAATTCCTCAGATCTCACAGCTCTAATTGCAGTTCACTTTCTCTAAAGAGCACCCATTCTAGCCATACTTGAGCATGGCGTGAAGGCGCTATCTTTATTAAATATATGCGAAAAAATTAGAATTCTCCATYATGATTTCTACCGCCAACGGAAGGAAGAGTATATAAAGGACCTTCATAAAAGCTACCCCTGGAAATTTTGTCCCAATCCATGACGATTGTCTCCCCCTACAAAATGGGGGCTTGGTTGCATAGAGGAGTTACGTCAGGGCTCCGACGTTCATATAAGAGTAGTTGACCTTCGTACCCAAAACGCAACGCTAACCAGACCTCTCGTTAAACTAAATTTCCAACCAACTTCAAAAAATAGCGAAAATGCAAGTAGTAGAATCCATATTACCGACACGCTATAGTAAATCACAAAGATACTAAATAATGGATAGACTGGTATGACCCACACAAACCAAATAAAGTTGGTTACATATAGTAAAATCTACATTATTCATACAATTCAGTTGCCTCTAAACTCGCCTTTTCATCCATACAGGTAGATATGGATTCAGAAATAAATACAACCCCAACGCCAGTAATGCGACGGCCCATAAACAGAAATATAAGAATTATCCTTAGCACTGTATCAAAGCTGTATTCAAAAGTCCTGGAAGAGAATACAGTAATGATGGATGTAAGACGGAATGTACATCTCAGTACCGCAACCATGGAAACAAGACAAGACAGAAAGAAAAACCCTGCTAAATACAGAGAAGAAGTGGAAAATGATGATCGCAAAGCCATAAGAAGATTGCACGTAAGCTACTATAGTCGTAACGAGCTCTGGAGACAGATATCCTAATGAAAATCACAAAAAAAGAGTATGTGTTGTGGAAAGCGACATAACTTCTAACATACAACTAAAAATTAAATGTAAAAATGTTAGAAATTAAATTAATTAAATTGTAAAATATAACATACTTACCTTAATAATAAATTCACATTATATATTATTACACTTCCGGTGTGTTTAACGTGGGTACCTGTTGACGACAGCCTTACTCCACGGCGCTCAAAATCACAGAGGATTAAATCAATGTGTTGCTCAGCGCGATGAAAATGCTAAGCATTTTCAGTACCAATTGGCAGTGTGGAATGCACACACTAACAACCTTGGTCGGGTTCGAGGCCTATCTAAAACCTCTGCCGTGCTTTGGGTCTAGCACCTTGTTGCAATGCAACTCCACATTCAATTGACAAAGTCAGTTCTTCCCGCATTTGGTTTTTAACCACAACCTCCACGGTACTCCCCGAGTCCCAGTCCGCATGAACAGGTTGGAGTAAACTCCAAGGMCAGGAGTTGGACCCCTTACACACATCACATACAAACATCACTCATACAAAATCTAACCCTAATTCCCAGCTAACCGCTTAAACAACTCACGCGAGTTACATCTCTGACTGACGACATGCAGTTGTGCATCTCATCGCATGATCAGCCATTACGTGACCAAAACAGCAGACTCGGYATACCAGCATACTCAGCAGTACCAGCAACACTAAAAAACAAAACAACAACTTTATAAGCAGTAGTAGCAGCAACACTAAGAAATAAACAACAACTGTATAATCAGCAGTAGCAGCAACACTAATAAATAAAAAAAAAATATACACACAGCAAAAACAGACAGCTATTGCAAGAGGTACTGTTCACATATTTGAACATCTCGGTTAAATCCCCATTTGGAGTTTTTATTAATTACATTTATTAATTTAAAACTTTTCATAAAAGAATCTTAGTTTAATTCAATTTATAATGTCCAAACATTTATATAAAAAACGTATTTAAAGAAAAAAATATTTGCACGTAATGATTCAAATTCAATGTAATAAGTACAACATAAAAAGCATATGGATCGGTTTTTTTGATACAGATAAAGGAAAACATTGTTAAATTTAATTATTCAAAACCAATATATATTAAATAAAATATAATCTATTATGATTATGTTGGACAAAAAATTTTAGGATCTGCAAAAAATTTCTTAACATTGAATCCTCAAGAAAATTGGGATACATGCAAAATAAGATTAAAACAGCACTTTAGGCCAACAAAGGTACCAGATGATTTTGATCAATGACATCGGGTGGGTAGTATCGGTGAACTTGGTAGGAAAACAAAAGAAATAATGGATAATATTACCGAATATTGTGCTTTGAGTGAAACAGGCGGTATGACGAAAGAAATATTTTCAGGAATGCTTATACGAAGGGTAAAGCAACTTGCAGCAGGACTTTCGCCTATATGATACGGAATATAACGACATGGGCAGACATGACAAATACGATCCACAAATTCATAGGGCTAGACGATTAAATCCTATATTTTTAGCAAGAAACAGAAATTAAAACCAATTTGCTCAGAAGGCTTGAAATTTTAATAGTAACCAAAATCAAAGAATAAACAACTTTTAAAACAATGATCGTTATTATGCACAAAATAATTCGGGACGATACTCCCAAAGAAATATCAACTTTTCAGGGCAAAATAATTATCACCTAAATAATCCACAGAGAAAAACTAATTATCGGGCAGGAAATCCAGGCCAGTATACAAATCAATATCGTAATAATAATATTACCAATAATAATAACGGCTATGGTAATTCAGCAAGACAAAATAAACAGAACGGCACTCGGCAAACAAGACGTTCAAAAGGCCCAACATCAATGGATGGTGATGCTGTGAGCAGGACAGAGGAAACGAATAACAACTAGGAATTTTTTACCAATTAACCTCGGAAAATCAAAATAAAGTATTAATTTCACTTACTTTGTTTATTAAAAAATGGTGTGCATTGGTAGACTCTCTACTACTGGAATTATGAAAAAATCAAGCTTCGAACATAATAAGTTACAGGTTCTAGAAAAAAAATAAAACAATAATTAGTACACTGAATGGTGAAATAAGAGAGTCTAACGAAAGAGCTAAGTCACCATGCCCGCTAGAATATAGAAAGGAGGTCGAAAAATTGCTAAAGTATGAAAATTGCAGC